TGATTAGTTTTTTGTATCCTGAAGAAGAAATATTTAGTAAAAGTGATAAGATTCATGTTCCCTGAAGAAGAAATATTTAGAATAAGGGATTAGTTTCATGTACCCTGAAGAAGAAATATTTAGAATGAGGGATTAGTTTCATGCACCCTAACACCTCATTTGACCGTGTGTTTGTCTGTTTGTGTGTGTGTTTGTGCAGGGCGACTGGGAGACAACGGAGGAGATAGAGAGAGAGGAGAAGAGTCGGAGGGTGTCCTTCCTCCGCGGAATCATTCCATCCACACGCGCCAAGCTGCAGGTCCTGTCCACAGCCTACAGGGTAAGGTCAGCTCTGTATGTGGGCAACGGGAGAAGTGTTTCGTGAAAGATTGGGCTCGCCTCCTAAATACAGTAGAACACGGATAGGTCGGACACAGAAGACTCAAAATCATGCATCCGTCAAATGATGCCTGCAGTCCCGTTTTTGTTTTTTTCTTCTTTATCTTTGTAAAATATCCCTCGAACTACCGAGGCCGGTCCCGGTGAATTTGAGCTGTCTGTGTTATACTGTAATTAATTACTTTTTACTTTTTCATCCTCTGTTGCCGTTAAGCGTCGAGGGGGAGATGCAGTTTTCTATGGTAGGCCAGCTCCGCAGCTCTTTCAGTTGTGATGTTATGTTTTCTTAGGGTTTCCGTGACATCCTCGATCCACCATTATTTATACATAAATTAATTATTTAAATTGTCTAGAGAGGGTGGAAATGTTTTTTGCTCTCTTGCTGGTCAAGCAAGTAGGCCACTCTACTTTCGAATGGATCTATTTTTAGGGTGTAGTGTGTCAAATGTTTCCTTCAGGTATGAAGTTTTAAACTTTATCCCCCTTTGAATGGATATATTTTTAGTTAGTGCTCTATTTGGGCTTGGAAGTCGTTAAGAAAAAACGCTCAACAAATTGCCACTTTTCCAACAGCAGGTTTTCATTCATTCCCGCATGTTGAAGTCAAACTGAAAAAAAGTCCCAAAAAACCCTTTCCCAGGGGCTCTCGTGGCCTAGAGGTTAAGGTGTTGGCCTCTCATTCAAAAGTCCCGGGTTCGAATCCGGGTATCGATGGGAAAACTTTCTTCAATGATATTGTCTCCTTTCACCTCTTTTCCTGCTCTCTAGCAATGTTCTGTTCTCTGCTTTCTTCTCCACTTTCTGCCCCCACCCCATCACCTCCTTTGCACCCTCCTCTAGGCTCCTGACTCTTTCTGCAGCCTTTCTACTGCTACTCCTTGGCTCCTTCTTACTGCTGTATTTCAGCCACACCCCTGATCTTCTGGTAGGAAAGATCTACACCTAGCCTTTTAGGACAAGGGCAAAAAATCTCGGAGGGCCTGTGTGCAAGTTGTGCACGTTAAAGATCCCTTGGTGGTCTGAAATCGTTAAGAATAGGCTTCGGCCGCCACCTGGGCAAAATTCAAAATTTCCTACCAACTGAAAATATTAGGTGTGTCCCGCGCGCTCATATGACCTTATGCAGTTGCGAGCGCCGTAAAACACTTTACAAAAACAAAACAAAAAAACCTTTCCCATTAACCCTTCCACTCCCAGCCATTTTTGTGCACTCCCTAACCCCAGTCCCAGCCAATACAGCAGTATTTCAGAAAAAGAGGCATGCATTCTAAAACAGTCGAACCTGCCTTAATGGAAACCTATAAAAAACGGAAACCTGTCTTTACGGAATCTCCCCGCTCCCCCCTTGATATATTCCTCTTTAATTACCTGTATAAAACGGAAACCTGTCCAACGCGGAAGCGGAAAGAAAAATCCGCTCCCTTCGGAGGGTTTCACTTGTCTAAGACAGAAAATGCTTTGCCCCCTCTATCCTGATTTGAGACAAAACTCGCAAGTTTTGGTTCCACCGGTGAGGAATGGGAGTAGGGGTGCAATGTTACCCCATCATGTGAGCCCTGAGCGATGCAGATTGTCAGGGTAGTGTGGGTGTGAAATCTCACGACTGTCCGTGAGAGTGCTCGAGTAGCGAGCCACTACGGAAACTTTCCTGGGTAGCCAGAAGCCAGAGGTGTGAAATTAGATTGACCAATGCCTGCCACCCTGATTGTATGGCCAGCCGAGTTCCTCGAATCGTTGTTGCATGATGGCAGTGAGGGGTGGAATTGGTTGACTGTGCTTGTTATACCGATAGGTTGGGCTAAGGGTGGAAATGATTGAGATGTTCAAACGTTTCTGTTTTTAATAGGTCAAACAGTGGTCCTATGAAAGGCAAGCACTGGTGGTAATTGGATACGTAAGACTGACGCATGTCATTAGCAATTGAGAGGTGTGAAGTTTTGACCACTGCTTGCAGATCAGACAAGCGACCCTTGATCCTTTTGGCTGGGCCTTTGACCCCCCCCCCCCCCCTAAATTCCCCTGTCTAAGCTCATATGACTTTATACATTTGCGAGGGCCGTAAATACTTATCCCCCCTCTCCCCTTCCAGAAAAAAAAACTTTTAAAAAAGATCTCAATGAGT